AATTCATGGAGATTAAGGGAAAACCTGTTGTGGAACTCAGTGATGACAAGTGGCTGTGGGATTTGGCCTTTATGGTGGACATAACCAAGCACCTGTCAGAGCTGAACGTCAAGCTCCAAGGTCCGAACTAGCTTCTCAGCTCTCTGCTTTCAAATGTGAAATAATTTGAGGCGAAATTAAAGCTGTGGCAATTGCAACTGGAAAAGGGTAACACTGTGCATTTTCCTACTCTACAAGAACAAAAGCCTGCTATGACAGCGGAGTATGCTGGTGAGTGTGCAAAACTGCTTCAGGCATTTGGCGAGAGATTTCAGGACATGAAAAGTAAACAAAATGAACTAAAGATATTTGCTACGCCGTTTAATGTGGAACCATCTGAAGTGCCTGACAACCTACAACACGAAATAATTGAGCTGCAAAGCAATGACGAGCTCAAAGCAAAGTACAACAACCTCCCTCTGCTTGAGTTCTATAAACTGTATGTACCTTCTGAGGATTTTCCCATTCTGAGGAGGCATGCACTGAAGTTTGCATCTCTGTTTGGGACGACCTACTGCTGTGAGCAGTTCTTTTCAAAACTGACTCTTGCAAAAACTCGATTCCGCTCAAGACTGACTGACCCAAACTTGGAAAACCAGCTGCGAGTAGCTTCGTCATCACTGCCATCTGACATCAGACGCCTTGCCAAAGAGAAGCAGTTCCAACCATCGCATTAGAGAGGTTAGTGATATATATGTTCAATAATTTAGTATGGCCCTTAAAGGATGTTGCAAAAATGTAAATGGCCCTTGATAGAAAAAAGGTTACCCACCCCTGATTTAGATGCTAAACTCCAGCTTGTTTGTTTTTCAGATCATCGGCGGCGGCGATTCCACAATGAGGAGAGAGCGTGTGCGCATGGTTACCAGGTTGCTTAAAATAAGCAAAAATGTATCAATGTAACAGCGAAGCTCTGATTCGGGGATTAGAACTCTTGATATCTGGCAACCGCACTCATGAAAGCTCACATAGCAGAGGCGTGTAGAGCAGTCCACAATAACATTGTCTCTTTTGACGAAAATAAAGAGGATTTTCGTAAAGTTTTTATCTTTTTGAATACATTTTAGTCTCGTCTTATTTCATCACTGAAATTGCATGTTGATTTCGTCTTAGTTATCGTTTATTGACCTTACCGTCTCGTCTTAGTCATGGGAAAAAAAGCTTGTCAACGAACATTTTTCGTCATAGTCTTCGTTAACGAAATTAATACTACTTAAGTATTTTGATAACATTACAATTGCAACTAAAATATATTTTAAGAGTGTTGGACATACATTTATGTTATACTTATAATAAACTGGGTACAATACTATTCTTTTACTAATAGTGACATTAAAACACATTTCAGGCACAATAAAATTGTATTGTAATAACACTTTGACTGGGATAGAGCTATACGTAGGATTAGTATGGTGAAGACATACTCCAAGTACCTTGAACTTAGGCTTCTATTGTATTTTAGGTAACACTAAAATGTGCTGAAAGTGCAATTGAATTAAACTTAAAGTGTAATTAAAATACACTTCATCCACACTAGGACTTTTATTTAATTGAACATTGAGAGCATTGGAAAAGTATTAATATTTCATTGTAATCTACTTACAATGATTAATACATCAGGATTGAGTATTTGCTTTACATAGACATCTCATTTCATAGAAACCCCCTTTTATACAAACAATTCATAAATGTTGTGGATGTCTGGATTCGAACCTGGGTCTCTCCTGTACAAAGGTACTGCCTTTACCAACTGTGCCACCATGCAGTTGCAGTGCAAGCAAAGTTTCTCTCCCACAAAGACATGCATCGCAAACATAAGATCTAAAAATGTTATGTGTTCTTGGAGTGTAAATAGCTTTCATAATTTCTTTCACCATTTCAAACGTACTACACCTGATAGTTCATGTGCTTAAATGGTCCAAGTATTAATAAAAAAAAAAAAGAAGAAAATCTTGAAATTGCAGTTTTTGTATAACTTCATGTGCTCAATCAGTAGAAAAAAAATTTGAAAAGCCATTTATTATGCAAGTAATGTAGTGTGCAAGTACATTTTATTGTACATGTAAATAAAAAAAGTAACCAAAAAATTATATATTCTACAAATTAAACCTTTCTTTTATTTGCAAATTGCTCTTTGTTGCACTTTCGTCGCAGGCAATTCCGCACATCAGCTAGAGTTGTGTTAGGAAATTCTGCCATAGCATCTATAAGCAAAAACAAAATGCTTTAGTTCATTCGCAATTTTTAGTTCACACACAAACAATATTGGTTTGCACCAAAAGAAAGTCACATGTAAAACGAAAATGATTAACACACCCTGAGGATAACATTTAAATATACTTAAATCTTAGCAATTTCCAAGAATAGTGGAAGAGCTTTAGGGTGCTTTCACACTTGGTTCGCTTGCCTGGTCCGAACCCGAGTTCGATTGCTCCCTGCTCCCCCCTCCCCTCGCTGGACTGCGTTCATATTATTTATTTGGATCCGAACCGTGGTTCGTTTGCGTCATCAAGCCAGCAGCTGTTTACCCCGTTGCTTAGTAACGACGGCGCAGGAGGTGGTGGTCAATGCACAACATTGCTTTCTGCACTTTTATATACGTCTGTCTTACGAATGTACTGCAAATGCTCTAAAGAACGCTGAAGGTGAACAGAAATGAGATATACAGCTCTCTGTTTGCAGCACGTCAGTCCCGCTTGTCAGGAAAGTGAGTGAAACAAACAGATTTTTATCAAATAATATGTCATTAATAGCGGTTCACTTCAGTGATTTGGTATGATTGCGTTCACATCAGCAGGGAACCGTATCGGAGTTCACTTGAACCGTACCCCAGACCACCCTTTTTAAGCGGACTCGGGTACGGTTCTCGGGTGCGCACCTGAGTTCGGAAGACAGCGTTCACATCATCCAAACGAACCGAACTCTGACGTTAGTCGAACCCGGGTGCGCACCAAAAGTGCTAGTGTGAAAGCACCCTTAATCAAAGTCAACAGAATATGCCTCAATACACATTATAGATGTTACAAGCAACTATGTTGGTACTTCAGCAATCAAACCAATATGACATCTTTACCTGTTATGGCATGCGCCTTTTCCTTATCAAGTTGCTTTTTTGGTGGGTCACCTGGCCGAGACTTTCCTGTAAGAGTGGATTCTTGTAGAGTTTCCTTTGAGAATACTAAAATGGCAAGCTCCTGAGCAAAGATGCTCATTCTTGCTCTGTTGAGCCTCTGGTAGGCTTTTTTGGGACCAAAACATTACTATGAGCTAGAGGAACCTAAAAAAGGGACCAAAAAAAAAAAAAACTATCAGCAAACAATGTGTGGCACAAACATGACTTACATTCTTCTATGGAGTCATGAGACATTAGGGAAAGGCTTAGTTCTGGCTGTCAGGCAGCAAAAAATAAACTAAAATAAAGATATTTAAGAACTCGAGAGACAAATGCTGTGATGAGGTTCCAGGGGTGGAAGAAACTGATGTTCTTCTGTGGAAAGTTTCACAGCCACCGAGAATAAGTTCTGTAACCTTCAAAGACCTCACCAATGCTGGCAACTCTACTTGAATTTGATGGAAAAAAGATAATTAATGACAAAGACAAAAAATATATCAGAAGACAAGCAACTTCTCATGGATAGCCTGCCTACCGGTAAGAGCTGCAATGACTGCACTCAAGTTGCACCATCGCAGTGTTCAGTACTGGACTTACTCTGTGGCTTTTACCCTCTCCCTTTTTCTGAAGTAACTGGAATTTATAAGACAAGGACACTATCAGATCTGAGTAATTAACAAACTGATAAGACAAGGATAATTGTACGATCTAACTGTAATATTTGCATAACAACCATAAAACACATTGAGGCAAATGTGAAAATTTTAGTTTAAAGAACTTTTTAAATCAAGCAACTTACACTGTCATCTTGTGGATTTGACAAGGGATCTTGTCACTGGGAAGCCATGGTCTGCCATCCAGAATATACAGGAAAGGAGAGCCTCTTCCTCTCCAGGTGTTAGGGCCGAATTAGGATGAGGGTTGTGGACATTTATTGTTTTATAGTCCTGTAGAGTGGTGTGGCGAATGCCACATTTTTTTTTGCTGTTGCCCTTAAACTTGCTCCTGCCTTTATTTCCTCAACTGCCTCCTTTAACTTCTCCTTTGAGTACTGTTTTTCTTTCCTGACATCTTTCTTTTGCTTTACTGACTTTCCTTTGAAATATATGTTAATCATGTAAGCCATGGTCTGCCATCCAGAATATACAGGAAAGGAGAGCCTCTTCCTCTCCAGGTGTTAGGGCCGAATTAGGATGAGGGTTGTGGATATTTATTGTTTTATAGTCCTGTAGAGTGGTGTGGCGAATGCCACATTTTTTTTTTGCTGTTGCCCTTAAACTTGCTCCTGCCTTTATTTCCTCAACTGCCTCCTTTAACTTCTCCTTTGAGTACTGTTTTTCTTTCCTGACATCTTTCTTTTGCTTTACTGACTTTCCTTTGAAATATATGTTAATCATGTAACGTTAAGTTAACCTTAACTTCAAATGATTGTTTATAAAATTGTTTATATTCATAAAGTTTTGTAATTATATAAGTTAACTTGCTGTCTGAAATCTTATTAAATAACTGAAATGTCTGAATAAGTTAATGTTAAGTTAGATAACTTCATGAAAATTTGGCAATGAAATAACACAATTGAGTTTTAGTTCGTTTAATTTGTTAAAGCTTGACAATTAAAAATGTTAAAACATTAAATTAATGTAAGTTAACGCTAACTTAATTGATCCTTTATGAATATAAGCATCATCACTGCTCGCAGGATGATGGGCAAACAGCTTCTTCTGTCTGTCTCAGTCAAGTGGTCATCGCCCACAATTAACGTTTAAATATTCCCATTTCAAAGCATTTATTCAACAAAAGGTAATTTATTTAGCAATTTGTGATAACATAATATTCATTTCATAAAGACTGTAACACTGTGAGAAGTATAAATTAAATAGAAATGTAGGCTACATTTTCGCTGCTCTAGTTGTCTCCCGTTTAACTTGACCATCTGTGTTCAGATCAGCTTTTCTCCTGACAAAATCAGTGTAATGGCAATACTTCCATCCCCTGAATCTAAGCTTTTCCATATTCCAATCTTTCCAGATGCACCGCTGACTTCATGTGTCTGTGCAAGTCGTGAAAATTATGAAAATAAATCTAGGAATTATTGGATTTCAAATCATTAGGGGTTGAGGCATCAAAAGTAACTGAGTCACTAGCTGTTTTATGGATGGTAACTGTAATATTATTACTGAAATCTTATTAGTAATTAGTTACACTACTAGTTACTGGAAAAAGTAATATTATTACAGTAACTAGTTACTGCCCAACACTGATCGCGGAGCAAAGAGGAAACTGACAATCCGAACCTTCTGGTAAGAAACATGGTCTCAGCTTTCAAATTTTGTCATTTAAGAAATTCAAACAATAAATACCATTTCGTGGCTCTTTAATTGTGTCGTGACATATTGCTGTATTGCCTCAGTTCAAGCGGCACGTGAACCGCTCGTCTTTTCATATTTACTTAAAGTGCAACATGAACAGATCGTATTTTATTTCAACCGTGGAAAGACGTCAATATACACAACATTTCAACTTTAAGTCCACCGAATTTAAGTTAATCTACTCTCCTATCTGATTTGTTTGTCGGACAAAATGGCAGATTCGGCGTTATGATTGGTCAGATCGCCTGTCAACCAAGCTCTACTTGCGTGCTCTCGCGCACATAGAGCTGCGTCTGAGAGTGCACAACTGCAGAATGAAGTTGTGTTGCGCCTTATTGTGTCAAAACGCCCGTCTTGATGAGTATTCACGTAAACAGTCGATTTATACTAAACATTGTCGGTATATAGGCTATTAAGTGAATGTAAACAGTTGAGAAACAAAACTTGTGTAACAGTATATGTTAGATCCGTGCATGAGGTCTTAAAGAAACAGCAGCCTAAATAAACCTGCTGCTGTCTGTCATTTATTTATTTACCTTTATTTAACCAGGAAAGAAAACTTGCTGAGATTAAAATCTCTTTTGCAGGAGTGTCCTGGCCAAGGTAGCCCAAATTTACAAATACATAACAAACAGTAACATACAATACACAATAAAATACTATGGGGAAAAAAAAAACACTCGCAAAAGATACAGTCATTAGAAACATTTGCAGATCACCAAGTCTTTCTCCAAACCACGCAAAAGTGTTTTAAAATATCTAAAAAGCACCCATTGATTTAACCTTAAATTAATTTGAAGAAAATTCCAGTCCGAAGCGGCAGCATATTTAAAAGCCATAGTACCTAGTTTAGTTCTAACAGAAGGTACATTGAGATTATAATACATTTGTGAACGCAGTGAATAATTACCAACTGTTTTTTGTTGAATCAAACAACAGAGATACTGTGGTAAAAACCCAAAATTGCCTTATATATATCATTAGGTACCAATGCATTTTCCTTCGAACAGCAAGAGTGGACCAACCAACTCTACTGTATAATGTACAATGATGTGTTAAATTTTTACAATCAGTGATAAACCTTAAGGCACCATGATACACGGCATCTAAAGAGGAAAGAAGATAAGACGGTGTATGTTGTGCACTACATCCCCATAATCAAGAATTGGTAAGAACATCACAGACACAAGTTTCTTCCTTGCATTAAATGAAAAACAAGACTTATTTCTAAAATAAAACCCTATCTTCTTCCTTAATTTTTTGTCTCAAATAATTAATATGTGAGCCAAAATTTAATGTGTTATCGATTATAATGCCAGATATTTATACTCGGACACTAAAGTAATCAAATTTCCTTGCAATGTCTGGAGGGCAATCAAACTGTCTGACATTGATGTAGAATTTGATAACATCAATTTTGTTTTCTCAACATTTAAGACCAACTTTAGAGTATAAAACCTTGCGTGAATAATATCAAAGACGGTCTGCAAATCACTCAGGGCTTCTTGTTTTGTACAGAACAATAAATAACTATCGTCTGCATAAAAATGAAAACTTGCTTTGTCAATGTTAACATCAAGACAACTTATGTATATAGTAAATAATAATGGCCTCAATACAGAACCTGGGGGAACACCCTTAACCACACCCAATAAATCTGATTTGCAGCCTTCAACCTTCACACATTGTGTTCTTCCTTTTAAATGAGCATTAAACCACAAAACTGCATTATCTGATAAACCAACACATTTCAGTCTGTTTAACAGAATCTCATGGTCCACTGTGTCAAAAGCTTTAGTCAAATCAATGAAAAGACATGCACAGTGGCGTTTTTCATCTAGGGACTCCAATAAATCATTAAAGACTTTCAAAACAGCTGTAGTAGTGCTATGCCTTTTACGAAATCCTGACAGAGTTTTGTTCCAACACACATACCATGTCGTTTTCAAATAAACCTGAAGGACTTGATTAGTTCAATCAGATGTGTTTAATTAGAGTTGAATCTAAACTCTGCAGGTCTCAGGCCCTCCAGGAATTGAGTTTGACACCCCTAATCTACTCTCATTCTCTGCAGGGCTCCGGCCCTCCAGGAATTGAGTTTGACACCCCTAATCTACTCTCATTTGGCGTTTTGAACCATTTGAACCCTGATGTTTTAGAAAATCTTTTCGCAGTTTATTTATTTCATTGTTAAAGGCCATTTGCACAATTTCAATCATCATGCAGTAACACATTGAATCAACCCTGAATCAATGTTAATGCATCAACCAAATTATTACTGAATCAATGTTGAAATTTAACATCGAGTTTTCATCAGGTTTGCACCCTGAAATGTTATTTTCAATGATGAAAAATAGATCAAGATGGTCATAAAAATTCAACATTTCTTCAACTTAAATTAAACCACTTATTTAACATTGAATCAACATAGAAACATGATCAAATCAAATCTTGATTTTTTTTTTCTCTTTTCAATCAGAGAACATGCAGGACTGCAATTAATATGGTTTTGAACCCAAAAGTCACTCAAAGTAAACAACATCCTTCAGTTTACATGCAAATATTTATTTTTGCCCCCCCCCCCAAAAAAAATCCTTACCCCTTTCTCAAATCGACGGTAAATTTTTGTTTAAATTGATAGTTTAGTTGTCCTATAAAGATTGCCAAAGTAAAACATAAATCACAATACTTATAGGTATTAAGCAGTGACATTGTCAGGCTTTTTATTTACAAAAACGTGAAAAGCGCTATACAAATAAACTTGAATTGAATTGAATTATTCCAGGCTTGGATGTGTCAATAACACTGATTTTGATGTTATTTAATTTTATCTGTTATTATTTATATTACCCTCAAAAGTTTTAACCTATATTGCTTTAGAAAAAAAAAAGAAGAAAAAAATCACTTTGTACAAGAACCAGATTTATTTTTCATGTTGTTAAGTGTGAGAGAGTCAGAGTTCATTCAAGAGATGCAGAATATGTGTGGGCTATGCAGATATGCTTGCCACACTTGTCTAAAAGCATGCATGTCTAAAAAGTGCCTCCGTCTAAATCTTATCAAATTAATATGTCTTCTCCATGCTATTTTCTGTAATTATTTTAGTGTGGGAGCGGGACTTTTATTTTGGAGTGGGGCTATGACGTCATAAGGCTGCGCCGCGCTCCGCATCTGTTGTGGTTCGGCAGAAGAAAGGTTTGTGTTTTAATCATTTAAAGCCTAAAGCCTAAAGCAATACAATCCAAACGAGTCTACCTAACGCCACGTTTTAGGACACGCCCAGGAGCACACAGTGTAAACACACGCTAATCACCACAGAAAAAGACGACCGTTTACCGTTAATATATTTTTGAAAACCATCTTACATTCTCTTGAAATAAAACTGACTAATATGTAAATTCTTTAAATAAATAAATCGCTCTGTGGTTTGTCTGAGAGGCTGCAAATATTCATTATTCAGTCTGCTTCACTACAGTGGTACTGAGATAGGCTAACTGCTAAAACACGTTGGTTAGAGAAGCAAAACCATGGCTATTTTTATTTTAAAGGGGAGAATACATAGCTAGATCTCAAACAGTGGATCATTTATCGTCGTATTGCCCAGTAAAACTGCTCAGTGGAAAGAATTAAGCCATTATACAGCTTACTAGAAGCTGCTTTGAAACTATGTGTATTGTGGATGCTATATAAATACACTGACTTGAATGAACCAAGTTGAAGATTATAACTATTAGAGATGCCGAACAAGGACGCAAGCGATCAAATAAATGAATGAATGAAACTTAATCCGTGCAGACAAGTGGCTGGGTATCAACAGCTGCCACAAGATAATGTTTCCATATATGATTTTCTTCTATTTGTAGTGTGAGGGCTTACAGTTTAATGTAAACCACTGTATATAATAAATCTACAGAGATCAATTTAGACATCTTATTTGACTTGTTTGCCATACCGAGTTTGTTTAATTTTCATCCGAGTGAATTTATTAGACATTTTATATTATTTTATGTTTATATTATTCAAGATCGCGTTGAAATGATTAACGCTTACTGTATCAACATAGCATTCATCAAGAGCAGAGGTATTTCATGCAGACACTGAGAAGGGCTATGGCAGTGTTTCTCAACCCTGGTCCATTTTGTGTGTCTCCCTAATCAAACACACCTGATTCAACTCATTAGCTCATTAAAAAAAACTCCAGGACCTGAAATAGGTGTGTCAGATTAGGGAGACACACAAAATGTGCAGTGCTGGGGGGCGCCCAGGACCAGGGTTGAGAAACACTAGGCTATGGTATATCCCTCATCAATGTCTGCAGGTAATACCTCTGCTTTTTCAGCTTTCTAATGCTTAAAAAAGCAGGTTTTTCACACCAGCCAATGGCAAATGATGTAAAGTGAGCCTTAACCACTCCAGTGCGATCTTAAGTAGAATAATATAAACATTGAATAATATCAAAGTCTATATTCACTATATTATCCAGTCTCCGCTGTGGCTCCTGTGACCTACATTCCCAGAATGCATTGCCGCTGTGACGACACATTCCCATTCTGTATATCGTGAATTATATGAATTCAGTAGTGATGGAGAAACTGAGCTTTTTGAAAGTCAGTTGAACCAAATGTTTCACAAAATGATTAATTAATTCAAATTGCTCAAATCACCGCATGCTGGCATCATCTGCCGGCCAAAACAAGTAGGCCTGTTTGAGATGAGCAAAATCTGAGATGCATGCCGGTTAGAAATGAATAATTGTCGGATCCAAAACAGCAATTAAAAGGCGCTGTGAACGACACTGAAAATACAACTTAAGTGTTCCCACAACATTCAGTGAATGAGGTCACTAAACGGCGATGACACCATTATAAGAGCATCGTTCACAAGTTTCTGCATTAAACTAACTAGGGCACAGCTTCAAACCCTGGGTCAAAAATGGGTTGCCAGGATGATTTTAGGAAAATGTGTATCTAAGATACATTAAAAATAACAAAATTAGTTTTCATAAAAATAAAACTCAATCATAGTAGGCCTATAGGTATAAATATGCGAAACATATCTGACTTAAGTAACAGTTTTAATTAAATGCGCATCCTTGCTTTATTTTCTAAAATCACAAATGTTCTGTTGTTATTTTGAGTGTACAAAAATAACAGTAAACACTTTGTGCTTTCGAATGATGTCTTAAAGATGACATATCATGAAAATCTGATTTTTCCAGGTTTTAAGTGCTATAATCAGGTCCTTGGTGCAGACACATTCTGGGGACACCAGAGATTTATATTACATATTGTAAAAACGGGCACAATATGTCACCTTTAATCTTATCTGTATGACCAAAAATTATGTTCATTATCAAAATAAAATACAGTCAACCAAAAAAAGGTTACACTGGTCAATTTAAATAGTCCGTGGTATAACTGGTCCACTTTGTATGCCAAGCACATTTTTGCTCATGTGAATATTATATTTCTGTCGATATACGAACGCGCGTGAAGTACAAAGCGTCTACATTATAAATAATAGTTTCATTCAAATACATCGCGAATATGGAAACATTAGGATTTGTGCCGAATGAGAGGTACGTGAGCCCAAATAACGCCTGGTACTTGTCAGACTCTGTTCCATGTTTTGTCTGTGTCTTCCTCCCCAGGTGTTCCTTTCCCATGTTTAAGTTGTCCCAGGTGTTCCCCATGATGGTTCATGGATCCCAGGTGTGTCTCGTCATCCCCTCCTCCTGTGTGTGTTCCATTCTTGATCTGTTCTGCATACCGTTACATATAAAAGATTTGTTTTGGAGTGAGGGGAACTAGGCTATGATTATAGTGTTTATAATGTTTATACATTATAATATTTCACTTTATTTGGTATTATTTCTGGTATTATTACACTCTCTCCAAACGTTCTGCTGCTCACAAAACAATAAGCAGTAAGGACCAATCAATGAGAGCGAGTTTGAACTTAAGAAAGCTGACTGGTCACGGTCAAAAATATGTTGAGGACCAATACATAACCTCCAAATACATAAACCTGCGCTCGCTCTCGTATGCACGCAGGCACTGTCACGATCTAAAGCCGGATCCTTAAAGGGGTCCTATTATGCTCTTTTACAAAGTCTTGATTTTGTTTTGGGGGTGTACTAGAACATGCAACAGCGTTTCAGGCGGTCGCACACCGGACGAGAAGCGCAGCGTCACGCCACGTCTTTAAAATTCGAACACATTATTTTCTATGAGTGTAGGCACACCAGTGGCGCCAAGCTACGTCCGGTTGTACTTGTGGTAAGAATTGTTCTAGGCGTGGCGCTGCGCTTCTCGTCCAGTGTGCGACCGCTGAAATCTTGAGGCTACAGCACAGCAGCTCTTCTTCTTGGTTTTCTCTGATGCACTAACTCTGCAGCAGCTCTTCTTCGTCGTCTCGTCTCTTGAATGATATTCTAATGGGCCACTTTGTGATATCACAAAACCTGGAAACCAACGCTGTAGTCCAAACGAGCCGTTCGTTGAAGTTCTTGAAAAGGGATTTTTTAAAAACAAAGTATCTCCCTTTGGAGTGGACTTTGAGATTAAAGTGGACTTTGAGATTTGTAACTTTGTAGATCTTTTTTATGCCCAAACATACACACTACACACTGACTAAAATTAAAAAAGTGAAAAAGCATAATAGGACCCCTTTAAAAACAACAAATTAACGGAACGCAAAAATCCAAAATCTGACATTTTCCGGAACACGGTCCTGCAGGATCCGGCTCAGATTAAGCACTGGATGTCATGCCGACATATGCCAAAAAACTCTTGCCACGGATTGCGCAGCTGAGCGCAGTTGCTCTCCACCGACTGCGCTGATCAAGACTCAGCTTGATGCTTATTGGTTTAAACAATCGTGATGTATTGTTCTGTTTTAAAATGTTTGATTTTATACTCCTGATATCATGTTTTTATGTGTATAAATTATGTGTGAATATTAATGATGGAAAAATTAAGCTTTTGCGAAGCACCGAGGCTTTCCCCTCAACTGTATCGTAAAAAGGTTCATTACTCGAAGTTTTTCAACACTGTGCACACTAACGACATCTTGTGGTCAAAGGTGAAAAAAGCTGCCTTTGCGTCCCATACGACCCAGCCATTTTTGGACTGTTTCAGATAATAAATCAGTTTGTGCTATGAAAACCCGTATAAAGGAAAGAAAATATAAAGTCTATAAGTCTTTTACATGTCAGTCATTGTATTACACAATATATGAATAAATGAGTCTGTGAATAAATTTGTGGCAAGGCTGTTGGTATATATGATCAAAATGAAAGAAGATTATCACTGAATGGTCAGTTGAAGTGTCTGTGAACTGAGAATTAATACAAAACGAGCATGCACAAAACTACACATGCAAATATTTATTCGTATTATTATTTACTCGTATCAAAGAATGAATGCAAAGGGGCGGTCACACTGCCCTTTTTCGCTCCATTGACTTCCATTCATAATTTGTGTTGAATTTCATATCATTTTCATATGATGTCATATCACGACCGTTGCAATGTACGAGACAATTTCGCATGCTCAAAGTCTAGTGTGACTGCAGCGAGATGCGAAACTTTTCACACAAGCTTGCGTTTCCGGTCTGATGCATTCGCATGCGTATGAATGGAAGTCAATGGAGTGAAAAGTGCAGTGTGACCATCCCTTAATGTATAGAGGGTATGCATTGACATCCCTTTCCCTCCTTGGCTGCACTGAGTGGCAAAATAGCCTGCTGCATGAATGGATTTAATAGGGAAAACGCAAGTAAAACAAATGATTATCAGTTTAAGTTAAAGGCAGATATTTAGACAGACATGACATGATAGTGTTTCTTACAAGTTACCAAAGAACAAGTGATCCATAGATGTTGACCTGTGGCCAGGAATCGTGTTTAATGACATTTATATGTGCCTGATTTTGACGCCGGGAAATACATAAAGCAAATTTGCCTGTGAACGCTTTATACAATACGGGTAGGTCTAAATCTGGGTGATCACTTGTATCATGTATCATCATATTGTCCAGCCCTAAAACTAGGATGTTTTTTAAATAAACATTGACAAAAACTGTAAAATGATGCAGAATATAAGGGTGTTTTCACACTTGGTCCTTTTCTGGGGTCTGAGCACGGTTCGCGTGATTTTTGGCCCATATCGGAACACTCCAAACGATCTCGGACTAGGGTTGCAAAAGGTGGAAAACTTCCAGTAAATTTCGGAAATATTCCAGAAATTTGGGAAACTTTCCAGGATTTTTTTTTTTTTTGAATATTCTAGGGATTTTTGGAAAGTTTCCGTAATTTTCCACCCCTTTGCAACCCTATCTCAGACCCCTCAGAAGCTAACCGAACCGAGACTATATCGGGAGAAAATTAATCTTGAATCAAAATTCAACATATTGACAAAATGATAACTGCAAATCCATGCTTTGCTGACTGGAGTCTGACTGTGTGAATTGCAGCGATCCATTTGCTTCTGTTTTCTGTAGTTTTCGGCAGCTTGTAAAAATAGACCTTAGATTTCTTGTCAAATCTATTTGTCCAGTCAATAGCAAAGCTCTTTCCCATTTTAGATGCGTTTTGTGTGTTTTTTGTGGCATTCACGCTAAAAACCAATGCTGCCACTCAGTTTTTTGCCACTCAGTGACTCCGGTTGACAGTGACGTCACGTGCACACCCTCTATATGCAACGAGAACAAACCGTAAGATGAATAACAGCTTTTACTAACAGACGATAAATATTTATTTGTGTTATAAAGCATAACTAAATTTATGTTCTGTTATTAATTTGTAGTGCTAGTTTTGAGTGTTTTTTTTAAAGTCCATTAACTCTCACTGACTCCCTTACTAGTGCGTTGAGTACTGAACTAGAGCTGATTGAGACGCACCCAGAGATTTAGTTCGGACTAGTATTTTATTTCTATAATTATTCTCATCTACAGATGGCGTTTATTAAAGAGGAGAGTGAAGATGTGAAGATCGAAGAAGCGTTCAGAGTCAAACATGAAGATACTGAGGAACTAACAGGTTGGTTTCATTCTCAAAGCTGAACTCACGCATTTGATCCGTATTCAAATGTTCAGCTCTACAGACATGAATGATATTTCTGAAGAATCACTAGGAGTAATTTTGAATTCTGTTCTTACAGCATAAAATGTTGACGGAAATTGTCTTTCTATGGTCACCACTGCAGAATATGGAG